GTACATAACATTGCAAAACTGATCAGATTGCATTTTTGTTGAAGAGGTTCGATGGTGATTCATAATCTTTAAACATGGAATGGTGGAATAGATGAATTTAGTTTAGGATAATTTCTTGGGAATTAAATTATAAAGATGAAATTTCTGACCTTCAACGAAACCCAGACAATAACATGTTCTTCTTGATGAGCTTAAGAAATCTTGAAACGGAATACTAAAAAAGATAATAATCATCATCACAAGATAAATGTAATTATTAGGGGTACTCCATTGAAAGTAGTAAACCGAAAATTTGAAGATAATTCCAAACAACTATGGAGGTAAGTCCAAGCTTTATAAAGTGAGTTTCGTCCAAGTTGTTAAATCAAAGGCTTTATGACACTTGGATCCTTTAATTAGATGCATTATGCTAAAGTAATGGGCTAAATAGGTAATGTTAAGAGCTCTAACTTTATGAATAGGAAAACCATTCAAATCATGACAAAAATTGAGTCACTCGATAATTCAATGTTTGGTCCATTGTGGTTGTCGAGTAGACATTATGTGACAAGATGAATCTAATAGAAAAAAAAAACAAAGCAAAGGCAAGAACATAAAAGTAAATGAAATAAATTTAAGAAAGACAATAAAGCCTAAGGTTTGAATTAAGAATAACTTTTGGTGGAAGATTGACTAAGGGAGTTAATAAACACCTATTATAGTTGACTGCACAAGATCACTTAGGAATTCCATTATTAGATCGATCTCATTTAAAGGAGTTTATGCTAGACCGAAACAAAAATTTTCTAAAAGGTTTAGTAATTGAATATGCTAGTTGGATCATTTTGTTCGCATCCTATTGATAGGCCAAACTGAAATAATGGGGAATGCCAAATGTTCGCAAAAAAATGAGAAAAGAAGAAAATATCAATGATTATGAAACCTTAGAAAATTTTATGTGAAACTAACCTAGTATTAACACATTAATATTGATACTTGTCAAAGGGCTATAATTTTTGAAAGTCAAAAAGCGATTGATTTATTTGACTCTCATTGAATTGATGATTTATTTCAATTGAATGCGCAACGTAAGGGACATTATTTTGTTGAAGTTCTTCATTTTTTGAATTTTGAAAATAAAAGAAAGAAGAAAAATATTTTCAAATAGAACAATCTTTCGAGAATGAAGGAGGTCCATGAAGCTGACAAGTCTCAATCCACCTCAAAATGTTTGAAATAAAAAGTGGGGAAAGAAGCAAAAGCCAGAGCAAGAAGAAGGAATGTTATAAAAGTGAAGAAAACATCTTCTGGTTTTATAAGCTTGAGTGTTCAAAATATTTGAGGAAAAAAAAGACTTCTAAAAAATATTTGGGATATCATGTTTTCTTTAACAAGAAAGAGCACATCTTGAGAACGAGCAATGATGTTTGAACTAGCTGTCCTCAACTGAAGAAATAATGTCGTCAACAAACCTAACATATTCAAATAAAAGGAATGAATCATTGAAATATGACTAGATGTCCTCAACGTAAAGGAACAATGTTGTTTTCAGACATGACATCCTTAAACGAAAGAGTCGATCACCTAGAAAAATGAAAAAATAATTCGTCAAATACGCTACCCAAAGATAATCATGTCTTTTGTAGGTCTAACTTATAAGGGTCGGGGCAGTCTAAGCAAGAAGAACTTCAGTCTTATCTCTTTGAAGAGGCACAATTATGAAGGAATTGATCAGTTGAGGGTTAAAGAAGGGTTACAATGTGACTGGAAAAAATTGGCCATCATTTTTCTTTACTTCATTATCGTTCCACGAAAACAAAGCTACGAGGGACAATTGTAATACTCAATTTTCATTCGACTTATCCTTTGCAAGGCCCAAACATTTTTATTAAACCTGATTATGAAACGTGATACATTAATCAACATGCAATGAATTTTCGGAAAGAATTCAAGTGTTTCAAAGGCATGATGTCTTCTTGAAATAGGACTGAATTTTAATTATCTTTCAAACTCATTTTGAAATACCTGGATCGAACATCGAAAAAATCAATATATGCTTATTTTAGCGAAGATAATGCGTGCAAAAAATTGAATAGTGTCCAATACATGAATTTTATTTTATTACAAAGTTTCAATTATTTTATTGTTTATTTTTAATTAAATTCAACTTTAGATTTTCCTTCATTTATTTAATGTAATTTAGGATCTTATTTATCATGGTAAGATTTATTTTCTTTTAAATTATGCATCGACTATTAATGAAAAGGATACTATGGATTTTTCTTGTTAGGGTTTTTGAAGGCTTATAAATAAACCCTTATCTTATGTAATTGAGGGAGGAGAGGAAAAATATGGGAGCCACCCATTGTAATATGAAATGGAAAAGCAATAAGATTAAATTTTGTTTAAAGATAATTCTATTTTATTTTTTGTTTTTTGTTTCGGTCGATCTCAACCTTACCTTTGTTTGAAAAATCTATCAATGAGAGATTCGATGAATCGGGGAAATGGCTTTCAAATAAATCTTTATAGATTTAGTCTTTCTTAAGGTTACTCGATGAAAATCGGTGATGGATCTTGAATGATAAAAGATTTTTCATTCAAAATTTAAAAGAAAAGAAAAGGAATTGGTATTTGGAATTTTTGAGATTCGTACTCAATTAAATGATTCGATGATCCAATTCGAATCTCAATGATATCTTCTTGGTTTCACACGGGTAGGTGGTAATTATTTCTGAATATTTCTTTTGAAAATTCAATTTGATCCCTATTTCTCTTAATTATGTTTTATATTTTTAAAAAATTTATATTTTTAATTTTTATTTAAGTTGCAACTACAAAAAGGTAAATTATTTCAACTGGAAAGATAAGTGAACACCTTTGAATAAATTATGAAAATATTGATAAACCTAAATATCGTACAACCCCTAAATGTTAGGGAGGATGACCCGAGTATGCCAATCATGCCTAATACTGCTACATTACATTAAGAAAATAAATATCACATTAATACATGTTTGTTTCCTAGGGATTCGTTTAGTGATGATTTCTGAAGGTGATCTCCAAAAAGAGTTATTATTCAAGGCATTTGTACTTAGGTTTATGTTTACACTTTAACATTTTAGGATTATATTCAGAGTGTTTTTAGGTAATTTTGCATTACATGCATTGTTGGGAGTGAGATGTTATATTTCAGATTAATTATGATATTTTGTTGTAAAATTTCTACTCTGATATTGTGACATTATCTGATGCTCCAGACGTTGTTGAGAGTTGCTATGTGGTAGGATTACATATCTGTTGCTGTAACAATTGATTTGCCAGCAAAAAGTGATTGACAGTTGTAAAGAAACCTATTATGGAAAGTATTGAAAATTAGAAAGAAATCTTAATAGAAAATGATTTTCAATTTAATGCGATCTTAAACTCTACTTTTTAGGGTTTTTGATTAATATATAAAGAAAGAGGCAACACTTAATAAAGGGATTATTTTTTAGGGTTTATTTAATTCATTTTTTTTTCTCCACCACCAAGCATGGCCTCTTAGGCAACTTTAGGGAAGAACAACAACTGGACATGAAGGCAAAGTCACATCACCAAGAGGGTACTGTCTAATGATTAGCGAGAGAATCAAAGACAACAACTATGAGACAAATCCGAGATGGGAGTTTTATTTTTAGTTGAAATACTCTTTAATTTGTGTGGTTTTTGTTAAACCTTAGATGTTTATATCTTTTAAATATATTTACGAGTTTCATGTTTAATTAATTTTTTTCCATCAATTCGATTCATGTTTTCTCAATTTTTATTAAGAAATTTAGTATAGAGATATATATTTACATAGTCCATTGCATCTGGAGGTGAGTGGCGCTGTGTGAGCATTGCATCGAGAGGTGAGTGCCATTTTCGGAGCATCAGTGATTGTGAGAGCAACATTTAAGTGTAGAGAGATATAGCTGACTGATTATCATAAGTTACTTAGTAATTTTGCATATGTGGGTATAGAGATATAGTCTTGAGTCAATCCACTACTTTCATTATTAATTCTATGATTCCCTTCATCCATTCATCTCTTTATTTGCAAATTTATTTTAGCTTTATATTTTCATTGCTTTGTTCACAACATCACCTACACAATTCTATTAATTTACTTAACTAATGGTATGACAGTTCTCTTAGGAATACTAATCTCTCTGGATATGATACTCTATGCATTAATTTGCAACCACTTTATTACTTGATACGATAGTGTATGCTTGCACATTGGTGTTTCATTATTCAAAACATCAAGTTTTTTGCAATGTTGTCAATGACTAGTGTCATTACTTTTAGAATTATCTTTTTACGAACATGGTTTTTTTGTTTTTATTTTTTAGGTAGCTTTTAACAAGGCGTTTTTGGTGCATGAAATGCAACAACAACTATGACTTAATACCTTTTGATCCGGACATAGAGAGAACTTTTCACCAAATGAGATAAGAAAACCAATAGCATCAAAACATGGCTCAAAATGTTGAGTGAAATGATGGTGAACAACCATTTCCAATTGAGGATAAACACAATCTCCTTAACAAAAATGGAGAAAAAGAATGAGTGGATCCTCCTTTGTAAAATATTCCAATGCGGCATGCATACTACAACATTGATGACATAAATAGGCCAATCTGAGATCATGTTGTGCCTCTTTTGGATTACTTAAAGTCTGACATTGTTCATTTTGTAGTCCATGCTTCCATTTTGAGTTAAAGTCATTGATGTATCAAATGCTACAATCAATGGGGCAATATAGAGGTATGCACACCGAGGACCCTCGAGCACACATGAGAGCAGTTATGAAAGTTTGTGATTCATTCATACAACAAAGAATTTCCAAGGAAGAATTAAAGATAAAATTGTTTCCATACTCACTTCTTGACAAAGCCAAGGCGGGACTTAATTCTTTGCCTCCTGGAGCTATAACATCATGGAATAAACTTGCACAAAAGTTATTGTTGTAATTTAATCCTCCCTACATGAATGCCAAATTAAGAAACGACATCACATATTTCAAGTAATTGGTAGATGAGAACTTGTATGAAGCTTGAGAGCGATTTAAAGACTTGATGCGGAAATGCCCAACGCATGGTTTCCATAATTGGAAACAAATAGAGATGTTCTAAAATGGACATAATATGCAAACAAGGATGGTTGTATATACATCGACCAATGAAGTATTGCTGGATAAGTCTTACAATGATGCTTATGACATTATTGAGAGGATTTCTGATAATGACTACCAATATCCAAACGCAAGGATCATGTAGGGGAGGCGTGTTGTTGCTACAATGGACAAGAATGCTCTGAACACATTAACTACACATGTGAGAACATTGATTGAGATGATGAAAAATATATAGAAATATGGAGGTATGTATGAAGTTAAATTTGTATCTATTGTTTCTTATATGTATTGTTGTGAAAATAATAACTTTAAGGAATTTCCACAAAACCCCGAGTTTGTGTATTTTTTTTTTTTGAGAAATTACAACAGGAATGAAAATGCCAACACATATAGGAACATCAACAATCCAAACTTCAAAAATCATGGAGACGTCAGAATGTAGAAAATCCAAATGCAAAGTTGCATTCAAATTTTGGGAATGAACAACAACAATATCAGTCGCATCAACAATTTGTATAAGAATAAACGATGTTGCAACATCAATAGTCGCATCATCAAGCAATGCAACCACAACAATAAAGAAATCAACATAATTATCTAGGGAAGAATTCCAAACAAGCTTCAATATCTTCGACACTTGAATATTTATTGGAAGAGTATATCTCAAGGAATTATGCTATCATCCAAAGCCAGTCTGCATCGCTGAGAGGATTGGATAATCAGGTTGACCAATTGGCTAATGCGTTAAGCAAAAGACCACAATATGCATTGTCGAATGATACTAAAGTTCCTAAAGCACATGGAAAAGCCATTACAACAAGGAGTGAACATCACCTTGGGAAACCGATTGAGAACAAGAAAGATTATGAGAGACCCCTATCACAACCTAAATGAAAAGAAGTGAAAGAGGTGATTGAAAAACCCAACATTGATGTTGTGACAAAGGATGTTGGGTAAAGCAGTAATTATAAACCATTGCCTCTACAACCTAAAGTGTGACCTCCACCTATGTTTCCCCAAAGATTCCAGAAAAGCAATAAGGACTAACAGTTCAAGAAGTTTCTTGATATGTTGAGACAATTGCACATTAACATACCGTTGCTGGAAGTTTTGGAACAAACACTGAACTACGTCAAGTTTATGAAAAAAGTGTTTTCAAATAAATATAGGATTGCTGATTTTGAGACCGTTGCACTCACTGAAGAGTGTAGCTCCATTGTCAAGAGAGAATTGCCACCGAAGTTGAAAGACCCAAGGAGTTTTACTATTCTTTGTTCTATTGACAATCAGTACATAGGTGTAGCTTTGTAACTTAGGTTCCACCATTAACTTAATGCCTTTTTCTATTTTTAGAAAACTTGGGATTGGTGAAGCAAGACCTATAATCGTGATGCATCTACTTGCTAATAGATCCATTGCTTATCCCAAAGAGAAAAAAAGATGATGTATTAGTCTGAGTGAACAAATTCATTTTTCGAGTAGACTTTATTGTCTTGGATTGTGAAGTGGAAAAAGACGTGTCAATAATACCAGGTAGACCATTCCTTGCTATAGGACAAACATTAATTGATGTTGAAAAGTGAGAACTCACAATGCACCTAATTGATCAGTAAATTACATTTAATGTGCTCAACCCATTACAATGTGATGAAGAAGACAAATGTCATTATATTGATATTATCGAAGCAATAATACAAGAGCAATTAGATGAATATGGAAGCATAGAAAATCTCTTTAAGATTGTCGTGACAATAGAAGAATCAAATGAGCCAGACCATAAAGAGAAAGTCAATTGAGGGTAACCAATTCTTTTACATTGATCTTGGCATTAACAATAGTTTTGCACAAATAATGTCGACTATAGAGTCACGGTATGAGCATCAGAGGAAAAATACAAATGCTACCATGGTGTAAAAAACATAGCAAAAATCAAGGCATCAAGGAAGCTCTCACAAGGCTTTGAATATGAAAGCTCATCTCTGAAAATTTAGCCTATCAAGCCCATGAATTTATATGGTGCAATGATAAAGTGTGATTAATGACCAATTCCAACAAACAAGGGTTTTTCTTCGAACAATGTTTTGATCTCACAAGTGCAAAGGACCTGAAGCAACATGATTATGTCACAAAAACCATTGGCAAACATAAACAAGAATCATTTTGCCGAGACCCATGAGAAGTTACCACAAACTTTCATTTCACTACATGAAATCAATTGTTTTTTACTTGCTTTCAATAATTCATTTATGATATTAGATTAGTTTTAGTTTTCCATTTATTAGTTTTATTTAATAATTTTATCTTGAGATATTTTTTAGATAATGTCTCCACGTTGATCACTGTATCCTTCTCAGTTTTGTGTCGCTATTGCTACTCACAGCGTAACAACATGAGAATGAGAGGAAAATTTCATCAACCAGTGTTGACTCAACTCACAAGGGGAGTATCACTGCCCCCATTATATTATGCATTTATATTCGTTTTTTTTTTATTTTTGTTTGCATGCATTGAGAAAAATGCACATATTAGACTTGAGGGTGTGTTGTTCATTTTTTGTTGTTACATTTGTATTGGTTATGCTCATATTGTTAGTTCATTATCACTGGATTAAGATACTACTGCAATTGATAAAAAAATTTAAACTCTTTTTTATAAAGTTTGATGAAGAGAAAATTTTGAGTAAAGAAATGTTAGGGGAATATGTTAGATTCTTACTGGAGTTAGGATTGTATAGTAAACTTTAATACAATAGGTCTATGCCCTCAATACTTTGAGACATAAGAATAGTTAAACCCTACAAATCTCATAACATTAGTAGGTAATGTAGCAAACATTCAAACTTTTAAAAGAATACTAGAGGTGCCTAAAACTAACTTTTGTGAAATAAAAGAGAGAAAATTATAACGTAATTTTGCAATCTACTAAAGGTTCCCAAAATTGGCTTTAATAATGAAATGGAAATACCAAAATGATAGAGGTGCCCAACACTGGCTCTAGCATTGGAAAACATAGAGAGGAAAGAATGATTGGAGGTGTCTAACACTGACTCTAGAAATAAAATGAAGTGAGAAAGATGTTGCTACAAAAATGAAAGTTTAAATAAGTGAGTAGGACCAAAATTTTCTATTTTAGCTAAGTATTGATTGGATACACCTTGCTTGAACACTACAACACTCTATGGATTCTGACTTTTGTAATTTGACAATACATTCCTTAATTTAAGATTGATTAATGCTACCACCTCTATGGTAACAAAAAAAATTCTAAGAACTGAATATTTAAGTTAAAAATATGAGTAAACTAGGCAATATTGTTTTGCATAGTTGCATTCTTTGCAATGTAGTTGCTTGAGGATAAGCAAACACTTAGGTTTGGGGGTGTGATAACTCTCCAAAAAGATTTATTATTTAAGGCCTTTTTACTTAGGTTTATGTTTTCACTTTAGCATTTTAGGATCATATTCAATGTGGTTTTAATTAATTTTACATTACATGCATTGTTGGGAGTCAGCTGGTATATTTTGGTTTAATTATGATATTTTTTTTGTGAAATTGCTACTCTGATGCTATGACATTATCTGATGCTGTAGATGTTGCTAAGAGTTATCGTGAGGCAGGACTACGGATCCGTTGCTATAGCAATTGATGCACCAGTCGAAAACTGTTAATAATTGTATATAATCATATTATGGAAAGTATTGAAAAGTATAAAGAAGTCTTAATGGAAAAGGAGACTCAATTTAATAGGGGGCTTAAACTCTACTTTTTAGGGTTTTATTAATATATAAAGAAGGCGGAAACATTTAATCAATGGAGAGCTTCTTAGTGTTTTATTTCATTCATTTATTTTCTAAAACACCAACCATGGCCACTCAGGCAACTTTGGGGAAGAGCAATAGCTGGAAGTGAAGGAAAAGTCACAACACCGAGAGGGTGGTGGCTGATGATCAATAAGAGCCTCGGTGAAAACAACGATGAGATGAATTCGAGAGGGGGTTTTATTTTTGTTTAGTTAAAATAAAATGTAATTTTTGTGGGATTTGTTAAACCATATATGTTTATATTTTTAAATCTATTTATGAGTTTCATATTTAATTAATTTTATCCATTATTTCGATTGGTGTTTACTCGATTTTTATTAAGACATTTACTATAAAGATATATATATATATATTTCCAGTCCATTACATCGAGAGGTGAGTGGCATTGTGTGAGCAGTGCATCAAGAGGAGAGAGTCATTGTCGAAGCATTAGTGATTACACGAGAAACATTTCAGTGTAGAGAGATCAAATTGACTGATTGTCATAACATACTTAGTAAATTTGCATATGTGGGTATAGATATATAGCATTGGTGTGAATTTTTGGGTAAAATCCATCGAGAAAGGTAAAGCTGCTAAGTTAATGTTAGATGCATTAATCTTATTTCTGTGACATCGTTAATTGCATGATTGAGTTTAACATTTCCACAATCTTTTGCTTGAGTCGATCCAGTACTTTCATTACCACTGTTGTCATTTCCTTCATCATATCATCTCTTTATTCATATATTTATTTTATCTTTATATTTTTGTTGCTTTGTTGACAATATCACCTACAAAATTTTGTTAATTTGTTTAACTAATGCTATGACAATTCTCTGAGTAATACAAGTCTCTGTGGGTACCATACTTGATGCATTAATTTGCATCCACTTTATTACTTGATAAGATAGTGTATGCTTGCACTTTGTTGTTACATTATTCAAAGTGTCAAATTTTTGGCCACCATTGTTGGGGACTAGTGTCATTAGTTTTAGAATTGTATTTTTACTAACATATTTTTTTTGTTTTTGTTTTATAGGTTGCTTTTAACAGGGTGTTGCTAGTGCATGGCATGAAACAACAACCAATACTAAATACATTTTGATCCAGAGATAAAGAGAATCGAAGGAGACAAGAAAATTAACAACATCAAAACATGGCTAGTAACGTTTTAGGAAACGATGGTGAACTACTATTACCAATTGAGGATAATCGCGATCTCCCAAATAATAATGGAGAAAACGAAGGAGTGGATCCTCCCTTGCAAAATATTCCAATGCGGCCAGTTTACCGCAATATTGATGAAAGGAATAGGATAATCCAAGAGCATGTTGTGCCCATGTTGGATGACTTAAACTTTGGTATTGTTTGTCCTGCCATTCATGTTGCCTACTTTGAGTTAAAGATGGTGATGTTTCAAATGTTACAATCATTGGGACAATATAGTGGATGCACTCCAAGGACCCTCGAGCACACTTGAGAGCATTTATAAAAGTTTGTGATTTATTCATACAACAAGTTGTGCCCGAGGAAGCACTAAAGTTGAAATTGTTTCCCTACTCACTTTGTGACAAAGCCAAGGCGCGGCCTTAACTCATTACCACCGGGAGCTATAGCATTATGGAATGAACTTGCGCAAAAGTTATTGTTGCGATTTAATCCTCCTAACATGAATGCTAGATTAAGGAATGACATCACATATTTCAAGCAATTGGAGATGAGAACTTGTATAAAGTATGAGAGTGATTTAAAGACTTTCTACAGAAATGCCCGATTCATGGTTTCCAGAATTGGACAAAAATGGAGATGTTCAACAATGGACTTAATATACAAACAAGGATAGTTGTAGATGCATCGACCAATGGAGCATTGTTGGATAATTCTTACAATGAGGCTTATGATATGATTGAGAGGATTTCCAATAATGACTACCAATACTCGAACACAAGAATCATGTCGGGGAGGCGTGTTGCTGCTACAATGGACAATGATGCTCTGAACACATTAACTACACATGTGACAACATTGACTGAGATGATGAAAAAGATAAAAAGCTTGGAGGTATGTATAAAGTTAAATCCACATCTATTTTTTCTTGTGCTTATTGCGGTGACAATCATAACTTTGAGGAATGTCTATAAAACCATGGGTTTGTTTATTTTTTTAACAAATTGCAACAAGAATGAAAATGACAACACATATGGGAACACCTACAATCCAAACTTCAAGAATCATTCCAATCTATCATGGAGAATTCAGAATGTAGCAAATCTCAATGGGGCATTGCAATCAAATTTTGGGAATACACAACATCAATATTAGTTGCAAAAAAAATATGTACAACAATAACTTATACTGCAACATCAATAGTCGCATTATCATGCAATGCAACCACAACAATGTAGCAATCAACAAAATTATCAAGGGCATAATTCTAATGAAGCTTCAACATATTTAGCCCTTGCAAGGTATCTTGTCTAAGCTCGAACAAGATTTATGAACCCAATTTAGTCTTGGGAGTCTTAAAGAGAAATTGAATGATTAAGAATTGCAGTTGAAGTGGATGGAAGAGAAAAATACCTTGTCTAAGCTCAAACAAGATGATTTCCTCCTAAGTTCTGCATCGATGAACCGAATTGGAAATCTATGGAATCATTCTCATTACAATTTTATAAGTTTGGAATCTGATAAGTGTCAAGCCTTAAACTTCAATGATTTAATTGATATGAGGTTATTGGGAAGAGGCTAACTAGCCAATATCGGGTTGCACATATAAGACTTCATGAAGGAATAGTTATGTCTTAATGTTGCACTAGATGTAAGTAAGTGTCATCTGCCAAAAAATCTTATTACATTAGATGCATAATTTCTGAGTATAACAAGGGATTTGAGTACGTATATTATGTAGAATTTATTCCCATACTCATAAATGACAACTCTCTTTGCAAAGTGATATGTACAAACATGGTCTTTAAAGATAATTATGTGTGGATCACTCCTCACTATCCAATGGGCTAAGATTTATATGTGATTACCTAAGTGAGGCTTCAGACAATCAAGGGTCTTATGTTAATTTGAAGGATTGCGACACCATGTTCAGTGTTGAATATTATGTATTATCCAAGTATATTTGTGGAAGAAAGTATTGAGATTGGCGTAAAGGTAAAACTGAGTCGTGAATTCTTTGAACTATAGGGATAATTAAGATAATAAGATAAACTGTTTACCAACTTGAGTTGACTATGAAACCTGAATGCTAGTTGTATATTTTTTATGTTGAGATGATATCTTTCTATTGATGTTATTTTGATTAAGATATTTAATTAATATTTGATTTGTTCTATTGGAGGATTGACACATCATTTACAATACTTTTTTATTGTAATGTTTTCATCTTTCAAACCGCCTTTTATTTTGGTGATGTGTGCCTATATTTGGATATATGCTTTTTATGACGTATATTACTTTTTCTATTGATGTATGTTTTCTAAACGTCATGTTATTTGACATTAGTATTACTTGCTATCTTTTATGTTTGTACTACCTGTTTTGACCATATGAGGGTTTTTAACGTATTTAAGATGTTTGACTCGGGTAAATTTTGTGAATGAAATTTTTTTAGGGGGAGAGTTGTCATACCTGATTTTGGGGTTTAAATTTTATTTGAAATATTAAGGACTAAATTGGCACTTTTAGGAAATTTAGAATTTTTATATGAAGTTATAGATGTTGTACGAAACTAAATTAAGAAACGTAAAAGTTTGAAGGTTTATTTGAAAGATAATAGTGAATAATAAGGACTAGTTTGAATCACGGGTAAAGCTTGAATTAAAAAGTTGAACATTAAAGAAGTTAGTGGCTTCGGGTGTAGTTTACCCATTAACTTTGAGTGGCATGAAAAAAAAAGAGTAAAATGACCCAATAATTGGAGTTACAAATGTTATTTCTTCATCTCTCTTTTTCTTTCACTCCAAAAAAGGACACATTTTTCTATATCTCGTATCAAACTTTGATAATTGATTTGTCACCATCCGAGCATCGATTCACGACACCATTGAAACCATCATGTTTCTCTCGTGGTTCTGATTATTTTGGTATTTTAGGTGTCATCATCATAAGGGGTGAGCGAGGAGATATTTCGACTGTTCGTGTATGGTCATTTGCATCATTTGTCGTCATAAAATAACAATAGTAAAAGACTCTCGAGCCATTAAACTTTAATTATGGAAAAATTGGTGAAGTTTCAAAGTCCTAAGCCGCTGCATACGTTGCCCCCTACGCGTGGGCGTTGTATGTTTGGAAAATTCTAGAATTTAGGTAGAATCGATCTAAACTATTATAAGCGGAACTGATCCAAATCAAGTCGAGTGGAGCTGAACTGAGTTGCATCGACTTAAGTCGAGCTGCACCGAGTGGAGCCGCGTCAAGTCGTCATTGGCTATTGATCAGCCTTTGACTAACGGTTGACCATTAGTTGACTTTTTTAGGAATTCATACCCTGATTTTTTTTGATGTCATGAGTCTGTTTTTGAGGTTTATTTTTCTAAATTCGAACTTGATAAACTATTTTTCAATGTTTGAACTTCTGATTTAATATGATTTTTTCATTTAAGTTATGTTTCTAATGAAAATTATTTTTCTATGTGTCTAAGATATTATGAGACGTCGAATTGAAGTTCAAGGGTGATCAAAATTAGTTTAAAAGGTCGACTGATTTATCTTAGAGTCAAGATAATACTTTACTACCTTTTCTGTGTTTTACGGTAGATGCTGATAATTGATTAATGCATGAATGAATAAGATCGATCTTGTTATTATCGTTGATTGTTTCAAACTCGAATTGAATTCCAAATTTGGATAGTAAACAAGGTAAGATATCGAATGACTTGTAGAAGGAATTAGATGACTACTATGAAATTTCAAGTTCAGTGATTAATTGATAAATCAGTTAAACTTGAAACCTTACATCTTGATTATTCTCTTTAAAAGATTTAATGCCTAAAATACTTGGATGAGAAATGAAAATAATACCTTCGAGGTGTAAAAAGGACATGAATTTCTCTTGATAATGGAAATAACCTGAGAACTCAAATTTGGCCCAATAGAACTATCGATTAATTTATTATACTCATGACATATTTAGAAAGACCTGGTAATACATTTCTAACCTTTGAAAATTCAAAACAATTAGATTTTTTTATTTCTAAATAAACATCTAAAGACCAATTAATCGAAAGTATTGTCTATGACTAAAAGGTTTGGAATGACTTAAATATTCCTAAGCATCGAAGGGGCCTAAATACCCTCATGACAAAGAATAAGTGAACACCTTTGGATAAATTTTAAAACTAACAATAAACCTAAATGTCGTACCGAGGAAACATGACCTGAGAACGTTTGTCATCCCTATTACTATTACAATACAAGAATAAAATAAATATCGCATTTATACATGTTTATCTTGTCGGGATCTGTTTAGTGATGATTTCTGAAGGTGATCAGTTCAGCTATATAGTGTAGTCCCTTAGGATGGCACCCCCTTAGGATGGTGTATTCGCCCAAATAGGCCTAGGGTAAGACCTTGTGGACCAAAGGTACCCCCTTTAATAGGTTCTTGCATTTCAACTAGGGTAAGTCCTTATGGACTCAAGGTGCTCCCTTATGGCTCCTATGCTTCCTCTACGATAAGTCTTTATGGACCAAAGATATCCCCTTAGGTAGGCTTCTAATCCCAATGGGCCTAGGGTAAGACGTTATTGATGCAGTTCTAGATAATTGCATATCAGTGTTTGGTTGGAGGGTATTAAAATTATTTTAAAAATATATTTTAAGGAAATATATTTCTACTATTTTAAACTATCTGTACACTTCTCTGAACTGATAGAACACATTAGAATCTCCAACTTAAATCTTCAAAATTGATCTATGTCTGATTTCTTCCCATATATGGACTTCCCGATTATTATCGTGAGTATCCATTAATTAATTTTAAATCATAATTGGAATTTGTAGATGTCTGGATCTTAATAAAATTTTATGCTTTGCAATACATCTGATTGTGAGCTATAGAATCATCTGGTAGTTCTTTATTATTGAGTTTTCCCAAAGCTCATTTTATTATTTACTATTTCAAGTTAAAGAATTGATCTTGTGTAGTTCCATCAGCGTTGCTTGAAGAGTACGGTGCATGTCTAATTAGGGGTATAAAAGCTACATTTTATTTATATGAGAGTCTGAAACTTATTTTATAGTGGATTTTGTTTTAATGTTTAAAATGAATTCTAAAGTTATATTTTAGTTAGAATTTTTCCTATGATTTAAATGATTTGACATAAATTTTATTTTTATATATTTTTACCGCGGGTCACTCTAGAGACCCTAATGTGACACCTCAAATTAGATCGGGCCACCCCATAAACTTTAAATTATTTTCGTTATTAAAATTAAAATGTGTGCATCAAAATTTAAGACTAATTTATTTGCAATAGTAAAGGAAATTTGAACATAAATGGAATTGACTTGCACTATCAATTTATCAGTTCATAATTTGATATTACATTTCAGTCGATATTGTTATTGATATTCATTATACAAATAATTTTTTCTTTCATATAACTTAACCTTTTATTAACAGGACGAATGGAGAGTATGCCATCATTAGCAGGAGTTAACGACCGAGAGACTAAAACTGATTGAACAGATAACATAAGAGATCAAAACCGCTCTTTTTTTAATTAAAATATATTTAATTTATTTAATGTAATTAAGGGACCATATTAGGTAA